TCTCCCAAATAGCTGGGACTATAGGCGTTCACCACCACTCTCGGCTGTTTTTTTGTTTGTTTGTTTGTTTTTTGTAGAGACAAGATCTCACTTTGTTGCCTAGACTGCTCTCAAATTTCTGGGCCCAAGCAATCCTCCCACCTCAGCCTCTCAAAGCGTTGAGATTACAGGCATGAGCCACCGCACTCAGCCCTAAATGACTTTTTCATTACATAAGTAATACATGACCCTAGTATCTTTACAAATATGTGAAACCCTGGGTTTTCAAATGTATCATTATAAGTAGGTCCACACATTTTCTTATACTTTTAAAAATGGTAACTTTATCCTTAGTGATGTTCCCCTTTCTTTTCTTTTCTTTTCTTTTTTTTTTGTAGAGACGAGATCTCGCTTTGTTGCCGAGGCTGCTTTCAAACTCCTAGGCTCAGTCTTAAGACTTCTTGACTCTCTGCCTTCCCCCAGCTCTTGCTACTGTATTCAAATCCTAAGGATGACCCTTACTGTGTTACCTTAGGCAAATAACTTAACCTCTCTGTACCTCAATGTACTAGTCTGTGAAAGGGGTAATAAGAAAAGCTGCTTAGTGAGATGGATGTGAGGATGAAACAAGTTACTGTAGCTAATACATAAAGTATAGGACTATGCACTCAAAAATACCAGCACCTACGTTACTCAGAGAAACACCTTTGGTCTTTCTGATCTCTGCTACTATTTTGCTGCGGCAGTTTCCTGTCTCCTTAATTCTGCTTTTATCTCTAGTCATTCCCACTTTCTCCTCTGTTCCCACTCCACTTCCTCCTCCTCGTTCTCCTTCCTCTTCATTCTCTCCCCCCTCCAGCTTCTTGAGTTAAAGAATTAGTCACTTATTTTCATTCTTTTTCTTTTATTTATTTTTGGAGAGATGGGGCTCTCACTATGTTGCCCAGGCTGGTTTCAAACTCCTGGCCTCAAGCGATCCTCCTGCCTCAGCTTCCCACAATGCTGGGATTACAGGCATAAGCCACCATGCCTGGCCTCACTTAAAAAAAATACACACACACACACACACACACACACACACACACACACACACACACATAATTAAAAATATAAATAACATATACAGATTTGCCCAAAAAATGCATACACATTTTAAGAGATGTTCTCTAGGTATCACTTTTAGTTCACTGTCATCAAGAATGTCTGGACATTGGTGGTAACCACTTTGAGCACCTCTTGTAATTGCAGAAGTCAAACATGACTTGTATTCATGTACAGTTTTAATATGGTTTCTTCCTTTCTTAAAATGTGTGTACATTCTTCTGGTACCCTCTGAGAATTTTTTTCCTATAATTCATGGGGGCAGATAGGAGAGGAAAGACACCCAGAAGTGTTTGCCGGAACCTTCTAGATGCTAAGCCTCATGCCAGCAGGTAGGTATACAATGATGAGGAAAATGGGTGTGATCTCTAACCTGCTTCCCTGCTGACCCCCATTGACTTATTGAACAAACAAGGGACAGACAGACCCATAAAGCAAAACTGTCCTACAATATGGTTTGAGTCTCATGTAGAGTGATAAAGTGTTACGGGAATTCAGAAGAGGGAGACCGTACTCTGACTAGAGAAAGTGGGGGAAAGCTTTGCAAAGGAAAGAATATTTGATCTGGTGCTTAAAGATTGAAGCATGTTTGTCTATCCTAAAAAAAACCTTCAGTGGTTCACACCACTGTCTAATTAATGGCTTAGCAGATAATCAACAATCTCCCTGATCTAACCCCATTAATCTTGAGGTTAGATCTAAAAGAATTACTGGCTGGGCAGGGTGGCTTACACTTACAATGCCAGCACTTTGGGAGGCTGAGGCAAAAGGATTGCTTGAGGCCAGAGTTAGAGATCAGCCTGGGCAACATTGTGAGACAAAAAAACTAAAAATTAGCCAGGTGTGGTGGCGTGCATTTGCAATCTCAGCTACTTAATAGGCTGAAGCAGAAGGATCACTTGAGCCTGGGAGGTTGAGGCCGTAGTGAATTATGACTGCACCACTGCACTCCAGCCTGGACCACAGAGTGAGACTATCTCAAAACCAAAAATAAAATAAAATATAATAAAGGCATTAACTTATGTTTTCTCTATGTATTTCCCTCCCCTTCTCGCTGATTCTCTGAGGGTCATTTTCCCCCTAGTCCTTGATGAAGCAGAAACAAAGATTCTACAGTCATTCACAGATATCGCAGGAAAGACTGCCCCGGGGAAGATGACAAGGACAGTTTTCTCTCCAAGAGACTGGGTAGGACTGTGTTTAGGAGACATGAGGACAGCGGGTGGAGGGTTAGTGTCAGCAGAGGAGAAGCCAGGGCTTGCTTAGGATGGGCAGGGCTGTCTGGTGTGGTTGTGTGGGTTGTGTCTTAGACAAACAAAAGCACCCAAAAGCACAACGGGGCTGGGTGCGGTGGCTCACGCCTGTAATCCCAGTACTTTGGGAGGTGGAGGTGGAAGATTGCTTGAGCCCAGGAGTTCAAAACCAGCCTGGGCAACATAGCAAGACCGCATCTCTACAAAAAAGCAGAAAAATTAGCCAGGCATGGTGGTGTGTGCCTGTAGTCCCAGCTACCCAGGAGGCTGAGGTGGGAGGATAGTCTGAGCCCGAGAAGCCAAGGCTGTGGCTCCAGCCTGGGCAAGTGGGGCTGAAACCCACTCAGTGGAGACTGAGGCAAGAGGATTGCATAAGGCTAGGAGTTTGAGAGCATCCTGGGCAACATAGTGAGGCCTCAGCTCTAAAAAAAAAAAAGCAACAACAACAAAAAGCCGGGCATGGTGGCATGCGCTAAACTCTGGGTTCCTCCCACCCAGAGGGAGTGCCATTTCTAACTCACTTAAAGGAGCTACTGTTTTCTCTGCATGCACCCCATGCCTCTGACACTGGAAGGGAAAGGAACTCTGTTGAAGAGCATGAGGGGGCAAGTGGGAGGAAAAGCTGGTGAACTGTCTGTCCTTCAACACGATTCCCTCCGCTGATGTAACACCCATGGATAGGTCGCCGTCAACAGCTCCTGGTACCTCTCAGGCCCCCTGAAAGGTGGGACATCCTGTGGGTGTGAGGACATGAAAGGAGAACCTTCGATCAAGACCCAGGTGGTCCTGAGCAAAGCCCAGGGCTTCTCGGCAGCAGTGGGCCGGCTACACGGACCGGCTCCATCTGGCTCCATGACGTTGACACTTATGTTGTCCTCTGTTCCTCCCACCCTTGCATGTTGGCACAGACACTCATGTCCCACTCTCCTGCTTCAACTCTGGAGTTAATCATTTGTGCATCCCGGAACGCCCCACTCACCCCCTCTTTCACTGCTCACAGCCAGTTCAAGGAAAACCTCCACGAAACCAAGCCCGACCACCCGGCAGGTAGCGTCAAGATTCTTTCTCTTGGCCAGGCACAGCGACTCACACCTGTAATCATAGCCTTTTGGGAGGCTGAGGCAAGAGGATCGCTTAAGGTCAGGCGTTTGAGATCAGTCTGGCAACACGGCAAGACCTCATCTCTTCCAAAAAGTCAGCCAGGTGTGGGGATGTGCGCCTGTAGTCCCAGTTACTTGGGAGGCTGTGGCAGGAAAATCATCTGAGCCCGGGAGTTGGAGGTTACGGTGAGCCATGATCATGTCACTGCATTCTAGCCTGGGTGACAGAATGAGACTCCGACTCAAAAAAAAATCCTTTCTCCTGATGCCACCATTTCAGGTTTCTTTCTATAACTCCCCTTTCAATTTATCTAACAGTATCATTAACTGTTTATAGGTGTCTGGCCGTATCCTATAAATCCGTTGGGGTCTTTTCATTTTCTGCAAACTTTTGACTGAATCCTCTGTCAATAACAGAAGGAAAGGACATGCCATTTCCACAGGTCTATGAGAGAATGCAGAACTGAAAATGCACTCTTCACAATGTAGAAAGGAGAACAGACAGTCATTTAAAGCCTCCAATTTCTATTTAGTTAACATTTTATTAAGCATGTGCTAAGCCTTTTCACATATTTTCTCTTATTTATCCCTTCCCCCAACTCCATGACATAGTATTTGCTTTTATACTTTTTTCTTTTGAGTGGGGTCTCACTCTGCAGCCCAGGCTGGAGTGCAGGGGCACAGTCGCGGCTCATGGCAGCCTCGACCTCCTAAGCTCAGACGACCCTTTTGCCTCAGCTTCCGGAGTAACTGGGATTACAGACACACACCACCATGCCTGGCTGATTTTTTGATATTTTGTGGAGACGAGGTCTCGCTGTATTGCCCAGGCTGGTCTCGAACTCTTGGGCTCAAGCAATCCTCCCGCCGTGGCTTCCCAAAGTGCTGAGATTACAGGCGTGAGCCACCACATTTGGCGATGTGATTATGCTATCCTCATGTTTCATAGTTGAACAGAGGAAGACGTGATGGCTTCTGGGGGCCAGGGGTTACGCTTTATTTAGTTGTCTAGTTCTCTGCACTGGACACTTAAGAATTTTTGATCTATCAATCATTTGGCTGAAATCTTCAGGAAATGTATTTTGGTTCCAAAAACATGGATCAATAAAATTTTGTCCCACCCCACACAGCTCTTAAGGACCACCAAGTCAAATTGGGGTGAGAAAGACAACGTGGAGCCTTTGCCTCTTTTTTTGTTTTGAGTTGGAGTCTCACTCTGTCACCCAGGCTGGAGTGCAGTGGCCGCTCCCAGCCACCGCAGCCTCAACCTGCTGGGCTCCGGCTATCCTTCTGCCTCGGCCTTCCAAGCAGCTGGAACTACAGGCGCGTGCTACCACGCCCGGCTAATTTGTGATTTGTTGTAGAGATGAGGTCTCGCCAAGTTGCCCAGGCGGGTCTCGAACCCTTGGGCTCAGGCAATTCACTCACCTAGGCCTCCCAAAGTGCGGGATTACAGGCTGAGCCACCGAGCCCAGCTGCCTTTGGCTCTTAGGAAGACAGCAGCAAGTGTTTCAAATGACCATGATCCTTTTGAGTAATGCTTTCCAAAGTCCTGGTTGCCACTTACCGCTTCTTCTGCATCTGCCAGCTGGCATCCCAAAAATGAAGTCAGATTAGGGAAGGACGGCCGTTTCCTTGAGTCGAAAGCCCAGCAGGACTGCATGATAAAATATCTGTAACACCACAGAGCAAGGAAAAAGAGGGGAAAATCTGAATGAAGCCCAGGCTGGAGTGGATCATTTTCTACGTAAAAGTGCCTTTTATTCCAGCAGAGCTGCTTATTTGTGACACATTTGTTTTGTGACAAGTCCTCTACTCATTTTGGACTCATATCAGAAGGAGAAATCAGATTATGGACAGAAATGCATGTAAAGAAGTAAAATGTGGCCAAGTGTGGTGGCTCATGCCTGTCGTCCCAGCACTTTGGGAGGTGGAGGCGAGAGGATTACTTGAGCTCAGGGGTTCGAGACCAACTGTAGCAGCATGCCAAGGCCTCATCTCCACAATAAATCAAAAAATTAGCCAGGCGCATCCCTGTAGTTCCAGCTACTTGGAAGGCCGAGGCAGAAAGATCACTTGAGCCCAGCAGGTCAAGGCTGCGGTGGCTGTGAGCATGCCACTGCACTCCAGTCTGGGCAACAGAGTGAGGCTCCAACTAAAAAAAAAAAAAAAGAAATAAGATGTAGGGGCTAGGGGGGGTCTAACCGCCCTCACAGATGTCTCAGGCAAAGGAATTAAAAGCTGGAAGTGGCCAGGTGTTGTGGCCCATGCCTATAACACCTCCTCATGCCTTGGGAGGCTAAGGTGGGGTAGAAGGATAGTCGAGGCCAAGAGTTCAAGACCAGCCTGAGCAACATAACCAGACCTCCCTGTTCTCCCACTGCCACCATCTCTACAAATACAAAATAAAAAATAATTAGCCAGGTATAGTGGCATGTGCCTATAGTCTCAGTTAATTGGGAGGCTGAGACACAAAGATCACTGGAGCCCAGGAGTTTGAGGCTGCAGTGAGCTATGATCATGCCACTGCACTCCAGCCTGGGCGACAGAGAAAAATCCTGTCCCATTTTTTTTTAAAAAAGGAAGTAGGTGTCTCTGAGGACAGGAAAGTTTCAGCTTTGTTCACAGATGCTCAAGACAGAAAAGAAGAATTTTCTTTTTTTAAGAGGAATCCTATGAGATTTGCATGAAAGAGTTTTCACTTTTTTCATTTGGAAGCAATGCAGATTTCTAATTTCAACCCATTTACAGTCTGACTTGAACTTACATTTCTTCTGTAGCATAAAACGGTTGGTCCATTTTAAATCCACTCTGAATGAGTTTATAGAAGTTAGCATCCACTGGAATGCCAGGGTAAGGATTCACACCTGGGAAAAACATGCAAGAGGTACAGTCGTTCACCCATGTCTTCATGTGTGCATGAATGGATTCACACAACTCATAAACCGCAATCAACATGCAACTGATGCATGCAATTAACAAAATTAGCCACGTCTATTTAATTTTTTTGATTTATTGTGGAGACGAGGTCTCGCCAAGTTGCCCAGGCTGGTCTCAAACCCTGGGCTCAGGCAATCCTCTCACTTCCACCTCCCAAAGTGCTGGGATTACAGGCGTGAGCCACCGCGCCCGGCATGACTTTCTTTTTCATGGGTTGAGGAGCCCTTCACAGCACACAAGCGCAAGAAGAAAACACTCTGATAAGTGGAGGGCTCCCCTGTGCCAGACACTGCCCAGTGGTAGTCCTGAAACTGGGTAAAAGAAGTCATGGGTCATGTTCTCCAGCTGGTTATAGACCATAGGACCAGACCTATGGACACCAGAAATCAACATCTCTGACTTAGGAGGGATCAGAGTGGGCAAGGGGTGTGATAAAAGGGGCAGCGCATGCAAAGCCCAGAGCCCAGCGAGGCCAGCAAGCTTCCTGAGACGTACCAAGTGAGAATATTTCCCAGAGCAATATCCCGTATGACCAGACGTCACTCTTAATGGTGTAGACGCCTTCAAATAAGCTTTCCGGAGCCATCCATTTCACAGGCAGACGGGCCTGTGCAAAACCCAAGAGGAGATGTGTTGGTGAGTTTTCTTTTTTTGTTGTTTTTCGTTTGTTTGTTTTAGAGTTGGAGTCTCACTCCTTCGCCCAGGCTGGAGTGCAGTGGCACACGCGCTCTTGGCCACCCCAGCATCGACCTTCTGGGCTCCAGCAACCCTTCTGCCTCAGTCTTCCAAGTAGCCGAAACTACAGATGCAGGCTACCACGCCCGGCTATTTTTAAAAAAACTTTATTGTTGAGATGAGGTCTCGAACCCGCAGGCTCAGGCAATCCACTCGCCTTGGCCTCCCAAAGTGCTGGGATTACAGGCTGAGCCACCGAGCCCAGCCAATGGTGAGTTTTCTATGTACAAACACGACTGCCCTTCTCTTGTTAGCTAGGTGATGAGATGTGTTATTTCTAAGGTCATCCTTAATGCTTAATTGAGAAAAATCACATTGCTCAAGTGGAAGTTTTCCACTTTCAGATTAACATTCTGAGCTGGCCACGTTGGGAAGCCCGGGAGGGAGGATTGCTTGAGGCCAGGAGTTTGAGACTAGCCTGGGCAACAAACCAAGACCTCATCTCTACAAAATAATATAATAATAATAATAGAAAAAATTAGGCCAGCCTCAGTGGCTCAGCCTGTCATCCCAGCGCTTTGGGAGGCTGAGGCAAGTGGATTGCCTGAGTCTGCAGGTTCAAGACCCACCTGGGCAACTTGGCGAAACCTCGTCTCTACAATACATCAAAAATTAGCCAGGCTTGGTAGCGCGCGCCTGTAGTTCTGGCTACTCGGAAAGCTGAGGCAGAAGGATCGCCAGAGCACAGCAGGTCGAGGCTGCAGTGGCTGGGAGCATGCTACTGCACTCCAGTCTGGGTGACAGAGTGAGACTCCAACTCAAAAAAAAAAAAAGAAAAGAAAAAATTAGATGGGTGTTGTTGCATGCATCTGTAGTCCCAGCTACTCAGGAGGTTGAAACAGAAGGATCACTCGAGCCCATGAGTTGGAGGTTATAGTGACCTATGATCACACCATTGCACTGTACTGTGAGCAACAGAATGAGACCCCGTCTCAAAAAAAAAAAAAAACATTCTAATACTAGTAGCCTAAAAAAGAAAGCATATTTCTTTACAGCTCACCTTGAACAAAGGCGTGTGCATGGAATTGGAAAGTTGGATGGTGGATACTCACTTTCCATTAAGAAGCCACTCAGTAGCCTAGAGGTAAGTGGGTGCCACAGAATCAATGGAACCTTTGGCTAAATATTTCTCAGACCGTTAGTGAAAATGCTGTCCACAAGATTGTCATGAGGAAAGCATGCGTCATCACATCCAGAAGTGATGCCAGTCTGGCTTCTGTGGCTTTAGTCACTTCCAGGAACATGGAAGGGGGTTTTGACTTAACAGAGACTCAGGTCAGTCAAGACACAAGATGGATGGGTTACTGGGGCCAAGAGTTTGTACAACTTTCTTTTTCTCTTTTACTGTTGTTTTGCGTTGGAGTCTTACTCCGTCACCCAGACTGGCGTGCAGTGGCACGCTCCCGGACACCGCAGCCTTGACCTGCTGGGCTCCAGCGACCCTTCTGCCTCAGCCTTCCAAGTAGCCAGAACTACAGGCGCACACTTAGCTAATTTTTTATTTATTGTAGAGACGAGGTCTCGCTGAGTTGCCCGGGCGGGTCTCAAACCCACGGGCTCAGGCAATTCACTCGCCTCAGCCTCCCAGAGAGCTGGGATTATAGGTTGAGCCATCGAACCCGGCCCTTTTTTTTCATTTTTTGAGTCAGAGTCTCACTGTGTCGCCCAGGTTGGAGTGCAGTGGCACACTCACAGCCACCACAGCCTCCACCTGCTGGGCTCAGACGATCCTTCCGCCTCAGCCTTCCAAGTAGCTGAAACTACAGGCGACGTCACAATACCCGGCTAATTTTTTTATTTACTGTAGAGATGAGACCTCACCATGTTGCCCAGCTGGTCTTGAACCCCTGAGCTCAGGCAATCCTCTCGCCTCCACCTCCCAAAGTGCTGGGATGACAGGCATGAGCCACCACACCTGGCATGATTTTCTTTTTCATGGGTTGAGGAGACCTTCAAAGCACACAAGCTCAAGAAGAAAACACCCTCTTTTTTTCCCTTTTTTTTTTTCTTTTTGTTGTTGCTATTTTTGAGTCAGGGTCTCACTCTGTCACCCAGGCCAGAGGGCAGTGGCACGATCATGGTCACCTCAGACTCGGCCTCCCGGGCTCAGGCGATCCTCCCACCTCAGCCTGCTGAGTAGCTGGGACTACAGGCACACGCCACCACACCTGGTTAATTTTTTTACTGTCATAGAGACAAACTCTCGCCATGTTGCCCAGGCTGGTCTTGAATTCCTGGGCCCAAGCAATCCCCTCACCTCAGTCTCCCAATGTGCTAAGATGACAGGCATGAGCCACTACTCCTAGCCAGGAAAGAATCCCTCTTTTAAATCCTCTATAAACTGAGAAGCTGTTGAATCAAGCAGGCTAGTCTGGTTAATTTGATTAATTAAAGAAATTAACTGTGGTTCCAAATGGAATAGGCTTTCCCACATATGAGAAAACCGGTTGGTAGGGTGGCACCCACATAACCACATCAGAGCAGGCTTGAATGTCTGAGGAGTGAAACTTCAATCAACAATCAACTGAGATCTCATTGTGCTTGATGCTAGTATGAATACAAAAAAATTAAAAAATTAGCCGGGCTTGGTGGCGCATACCTGTAATCCCAGTTACCTGGGAGGCTGAGGTGGGAGGATTGCCTGAGCCTGGGAGATGGAGGTTACAGGATCATGCTACTGCACTCCAGCCTGGGCAACAGAGTGTAATTCGGTTTTTCACATTTATTGGTGTTTGCCCTGGACAAGGCACTTTCGTGTTGGTTTTATTGGTTTCTTCTCACATCAGCACTATGAGGTAAGTGGCTGACCCTCATGGGAAACACGCGTCATGGTGGTTATGCACGGACCACCCATGTTCACATCCACAGGCAAGTCGCCTTTCTGTACCTCGGTTTCCTCACCCACAAAGTGGGTACTTAGAAGAATAAATGAATTAAAATATGTAAAGCACCTACAATAATGCTTAGCACATAGTAAGCATTATATCAGCATTTGATTTTTTTTTTTGAGTGAGCTCTCACTCTGTCACCCAGACTGGAGTGTGGTGGTACGGTCATGGCTCACTGCAACCTCAGCCTCCTGGGCTCAGGTGGTCCTCCTGCCTCAGCCTCCTGAGTAGCTGGGACTACAGGCACTTGCCACCACGTCCAGTTAATTTTTTGATTTTTATTTTTTGTAGAGATGGGGTCTCGCTATGGTGCCCAGGCTGTTCTCCAACTCCTATGCTCCAGTGATCCTCCCACCTGGGCCTCCTAAAGTGCTGGGATTATGGTGTGAGCCACCATGTCTGGCTATCATTTGATGTTATCATTATTTTACAAGTAGGGATAATAACCACAGAGAGAAATCTTAAAAAGAAATGGAATAGTGCCTTAAAGCCAGGTGTTGTAATTCTTAAAAACCACTTTGTTTCAGCGGCGTAACTTTGCCATCTAGTATTTCTAAGAGTTCTTTTGCAAACACAGCTGTCCTTCGGGGTTTTTTTTTTGTTTGCTTTTTTCTTTTGTTTTTATTAACAAGCAGATTCAGTCATGTGTTAAGCCTTCTTTTGTTAACAGTAATAGGATGACAAATATTCATTAATTAATAATTAAAGTGTTGTGCCTTTTGGAGTTTATATTTATTTAATATTTAATTTATGTGCTGTACATTTTTTATTTTTGAGAGTCTCACTCTGTCGCCCAGACTGGAGTGCAGTGGCCACTCCCGGCCACCGCAGCCTCGACCTGCTAGGCTCTG